AGAGAGAGGAGAACTGGAGCCGGGAAAGAATAGCCAGGAGGGCCCAGCCCGCGGGGTCTCCGGCGGGAATTAAGGCGTCTGCCCCACCGCCCGACAACGCGCGGCCCCCGGAATCCAGCGCTAGCGAGCGCCCAGCCGGGCCGCCCCGAAATGCGGGAGCAGCAAAGGAGGAATCAAAGCGAAAGGAGAGAATGGGTCAAAGAGGAGAGGGAGGGAGGAGTGGGGGGGTGCGAAAGTGGGAAAGGAAGAAAATTTGGAAGTCTGGTGACTTGAAAGAAGGAAGGGAAGTGAGGTCTTCAGATTGCAATTCTCGCAACCAATTTCTAGGAAAAAAAATTGGAAATATTTCTGGAATAAGCCAAGTGCACTCCTTCATCCCCTTCCCAATATAAATTGACTAAAATAAACAAATGTGAGACTGCATTAGGTAATTTTAAAAAATTGATTTAATGTAGCAAAGCAGCCTCTCTGGAGAGCCCTCTCTCTCTCTCTCCCTCCCTCCCTCTCCCTCTCTCTCCATCCCCCCTCTCCCTCCCTCCTAGCCCCCTCCCTTTCTTCCTATCAGTCTACGGAGCCAGCTAGTAAACTGCCCTATATGCCCCTTTAAACAAGTCCGGGAAGGCGAGGATTCCTAGCTTCTAGGCAAACTCCAGCTTTCTGAAGAGGTACCAGAGTTTCCCTGTCTCCTGCCCCCTCCAGTGGCACTCTAAGACGGGGTGACCGAGGGAGGGCCTAGAGCCCCAAGTGGAAGGAGCTGCGGTCAGCTCCAACCTGGGCTGAGACTGCCTTACGCTGGGAGAGGCTTTTTAGAGCCGGCAGAGAGCCCTGGTTCAGCCAGCAGTAGTGAGCTGGCTTCTTCCCGCGTTTTTGTTTATTTCATTTTAACACTAAAATATTGAAGTGCGTGTTCTTTTTCCTTACTAGAATCTTATCTGCACTCCCAGAGATGTGTAAATAAAGGCAATGGCCTCGGCACTTCCCTTCACACCTCCGCTGCCTCCGGGCCCACAGTTCCCTCTCAGGTTACTTCGGGAGCCTCAGCTTCGGGCGGTGGGGCCAGGAAGGTCCGCAGCAGCCAGCGTGGGGCCCGGGTGTGTGTGTAGCCGCAGGGCCAAGAGCCACCACGCGGGCCCCAGCTTTGTGGCCTGGCCACTGCCTCCGGAGCACTTTTTGCTCCCGGAGGAGAGATATTTACCTTCTAGATGGTTTAAACCCTACTGTCTGGCAGTTTCTTCTCCCCAGGCCCGAGTGTGACTCGCAGCCAAACTCAGGCCTGAGCCTCGCTCGGCTGGACCGAGCGTCCACACTTTTACCGGCCCATCGTGGCAGCATCCCCAGCCACTGGGCATCCACCCTCACAGTATTTTTAAATCACTTCCAAACAGCCCCTCCCTTGCTGGGGGCCGCTGTCCAGTGTTTACTGCTGCAATCCGAGCAGGGCGCGAGCGGTGG